CTGAGTCTCCCAGAGATGAGCCCCATCTGGAGAATGTGGCTTTCTCTTGGTTAATTTCTCTTGCGAACTACTAGCTTTGGACCTTTTTCCTTTGGAAAATACATTTTTGATTTGTTATGTAACAAGTAAGGATATTTTCTTCAACTCTTCTTATTTCACTTTTGTGTTTTGCAAGCCAGCAAAATTGAAGGGAAGAGGATATGCAAACAATTTGTTCAAAGGGGACTTGGTCTGCCTTTTGAAAGCATCAAACAGAGTGCTTGTGTGGCTGATCAAGTACCTTTGGTTATCTGCATTACTCGATTGGTCGCTCAAAAGGGTCTCCATCTTATCACTCATGCGATCAAGCATGTTGAAGAACTAGTAAGTGTTTATCCCCATCTCGTTCTTTTTGGCAAACGTTCACCTAGACTCAGGAAAACAGCCATCCAATCAGTCAAATGTACACATAAACAGCACATAGGATGCATTTTCTCTATGAAAGATTCAATTGGATGATCATTTATCATTTTATGAGCAAAAGAGAGTCATCAAGATGATGTGACCTTTACTTCTCCATCACAAGCACAAAATTTGTTAAACTACTCTCTGCACTTCCCAACACAATCCTGTGTCTAAACCATGACAAGTGTGTAGAATCCCGATTCGTCTACCGCGTTACAAATTTTGATACATATAACGCCCACCAGTTCCGCACTCTAAGGATATAGGGTCACCTGAGCAAGAGTCAAGAGGAGTCAGAGAATGCATACTGGCTGTATGGTGCAAACAATACTCAAGTCTACAGAGACAAGCATGCGTCTAGTAATGCTCTATTATTGTTGCTTTCACCGTGTCAAGTATACTAACATATGTTTTTCGAACTCGCCTTAAAATCTTGGCCAGCTAACGTTTTATTGCATGCTAAAAAGTTTTATTGCCTTGCCCATTTGAAGCATTTTTTATTGGAAAAGAAGAGCAAGATAAGCCTCCTGTTACTGTTCAAGTTATTACTAAATACAGCTACCGCAACACGCAACTTCCAGGTCGTGTTTGTTTTCTCATGTGAAAAAGAAGATTGTCACCTCTTATTATTTCTTCTCGTATGATCTCCTAACGGCAGTTGCAAGTTTGCAACTATCCGTAGGATTTTCTGGCCAGCTGATAGGGTATTAATTTGGCGTTGTAATTGAAGTCTGCTGCTGGCATCTTTTTCAGGGTGGACAGTTGGTGATTTTGGGCAGGGCTTCAGATGGTCGAGTTGAGAGAGAATTTGAAGGTTTAGCAGAATTGGTAACTCAAATTTCTAGACTTGAAAATTGAAATATTCTTCTGGCTGGCTTGCTGTGGACTATTATATACTGTTCTTTTCATCATCATGAGATAGAAAATGGAAGCATCACCACTGATAAGACAGTTCATTATCACCATTTTAGTTTTTCCTTCTCTTTATTGCCATTCTTTTATGATTTTAGAACGGAATCATTTAATAATTTAGATGTCAGGGTCCATACCAAAGGGCTGCATTTGACCTGAAAGAAATGCCAATTGATAAACCAAAGAGAAAAAGGAACAGAAAAAGAAGAGTAGTGATAGAATTACTCAACTGCACTAATTGCTTATTAATGCATGTTCCCAAGTTCTCCTCTGGAGTAAGCTAGGCGTAATAAGCAGTTAGTGATTTCATATGTTAGCAAATGTAGTTCCATCCTGCTTATAATTTCCACCAGTACGTATTTTTCACATTTGAGAGAACAAAGTGTTTTATTTTGAAGGAGTCCAATAGATCTGGTTGTGTTTTTAAACCTTTCTGAATGACCATGCAATGGTGATATCAATTACTTTCTTTGTAGTATAACAAGGGCCCCAACATCCGTATCCTTTTGATGTACAGGTAACTATTTTTGAAAGCCAATTGATTATTTAATATTCCTAACCTTCAAGAAATATTACTGGTAATGTTTATGTATCTTGGTAAAGATTTATTCTTTATCTGGTTAAACGAACCTCAAATTATATGAACCACTTGTATACTCTGGATGCATGAGGGAATGTTTAACACGAGTGATCAATTTTCTTTCAAATGGCGTCAATCATGAAGCGAGGAGCTGTCCCATATGCTCTATGCCGCTGCAGACATGGTCTTAGTGCCATCAATGTATGAGCCATGCGGGCTAGCACAGATGATTGGAATGCGCTATGGAGCTGTAAGTACTCCTACTTTCTAAGAATAATTTGTTTTTCACATTTTATGTGGTTAAAGCTGGGGAAAATATCTCTTTTTTTTTTCTGCTTCTGAGTTGACATATTTATATGGTAGACAGAACTTGTCAAAAAGGTTTTATTTAGGGCTGTGTGTGTTTCTAGTAAGGATAGAATGGTGGTTTATCCAATTATTGCTTCCAGAAACATAAAGCATTCCATCTTAAGAAAGAAACAACAAGAAGTAATTTTTGCATCTGTTTCAGGTTCCCATAGTTAGGAAGACGGGTGGTCTTGCTGACACGGTTTTTGACTTGGATGATCAATCTCAAGCTGAGATTGCTAACGGGTAACTGATCAAATTCTTGAAATCCCGTTTATTTTCGTACTAAAAATTGATGCTAGTCGTGCCATTGGCTTTCGATGATGAATTGGGTTCTGAACTTTAACTCTTTTCTCTTTCTCTCTGTGTGTGTGTGTATTCTATAACGAGGATGAGAATAAATAGAGGAACTAACCAACAAATGTGGTATTTGATGTTGATCATCAGTCATCTCAATGAAAAACAACTCATGCAGCTGCTTTCTGAGTTTGCATAGATTTTCTTATTCAAGAAAATATTCTCATCGATGATACAGGCAGTATTGCTAGATTTCAGAGCTAAAGGGGTTTTAAAGAAATTTATGGTGAACCCACTGTTTTCAGCTTAAGTAAATTCAAGATAAAGCAACTGTGCAAGAATTTAAGGATGGATGTTGTAGTAAGAGCCATATTGTTTGTGTTGGTTTTGTTTTTTTTCCCCCTTAAAAAAAACTAGTTAGGTGATGGATCCTTTTTCTGTTTTCCTGTTTGTCCTTTTCCATGAGTAAGTTTTACTGGCATTCCAACTGTGATTCTGAAATGCTCAGCATATTATCCATGTAGGTTCGTCTTTGAAGGAATTGATGAAGGATCCTTTAATCGGGCTTTAGACCGTGCATTTTCTTACTATCGAGAAAGTAAGTCACTTTATCCTTGAATATCCATGCCTGCTGATTTCCTTCAACGAATGCCGCTTGATTGTAGAGTAGTCCCTCATTCACCTCACAAAATAAAATGAGATTTTGATAGAGAGGATCCGTAGAACTGACTCCAACTACTTTGAGATAAAGATTTACTAATTGTTTGATTGATATGATATTCTCAATTATAATGCAGAACCAAATGAATGGAAAGCTGTTGTTCAGAAAGTTATGCATATTGACAATAGCTGGAATAATACAGCAGGGAAATACATAGATATCTACAATTCCATAAAAGTGAGGTGAAATAATTTCTCAAGGCACAAATCATTTTGCCATGATCAAGAAACAGGACCAGTTTATCTTTAGTGTATATTTTTCCTTTTGTAATATATTACAGATGCTGTAGTTTCCTCTGCCACCAGTAGATCCCACTTGTAATAAAGGAACAATTAACAAATTTCTCCTACAGTATGTAAATGCCTCCCCCTTAATTTCAAATCTCTAATATGGATCAGAAGTGTTTGTCCATGATGATGTCCGAGCAATAGAGTTGCTGGACGCAAGCTCTTGCAGAAATGCAGGGTAAGGCTGCATACAATAGACCGACCTTTGTGGTCTGACCCTTCCTTGGACCCAGCGCATGGCGGAAGTTTAGTACACCGGGTTGCCCTTATTTTTTTGATGTCCAAGCAATAGAGTTGTATAATCATGTTTAAAACTCAACTGACCAAATTTTTTGATTCAAATCATGTTAAAGCTTTTTATGTTTTTATTATTGCAACTTTAGGTAATAATCATGTTGATGTAGTAAGTAGTTGACGTACTCTCGGGTATAACTAGTTCAACAACAATAACAAATCCAGTGTAATCCCACAAAATGGGGACTTGGAGAGGATAGTGTGTGTGCAGACCTTATCCTTTTCCGATCTCTTGCGTGTAGCTAGTTCGGTCCAGTTAATTTGTTTGCTAATTTTGATAAGGACAGATTGTGAAGTTGGACATATATTGAAATGAGTTTGGTGATTGCTAGTTTCAAAGCGCAGTTTCCAACTTGATAAAGTTCATAATTAATGCTCGAGAGTGGTGTTTACTTCTCAAATTGAAGGGAGTTAAGGATCTCGTTAAAGTTAAGGTTGAGAAAAAATTGGATCAAACTCGATCACTTCTTTATTTACATGTGAAGTTGACTTTAATTTTAGCCAATGGAGACCATTACATATATTTTTGATTTCTTATCCTATTCATAGTGATTGACTAATCAAGAACAATTTAGGTTAATTTGTCAAATATTTAAAATCTATTAACATGATCTCAATCATGACAAGTCTCTAAACTTTTAAAATTTAACAAATTTAGAAATGCGTACGAAAATTAAATTCAGAACTCATTTATTACCAACAACCGAAGTGGCTATTCTAGTATTTAGAACTCCTAAAGTTCAAATTCTGGCTCTGCCTCTGCAATTAACCTACCAGGGATAACCAAGTCGTAATGTGCCATTACCTTGTGTGACCACACAAAGATAAGTTTGAAATTTATTATAAGCTCATAGCCAAATACTTTGGCTAGATGAAATGTTGCTTGCACTTGATCTATGGTTTATTTGACAATTGTAAGCCTCTCTTTACATGGTTGTGCATGCTAGGCACTCCGACGTGAATAACTGAAAGGACAATTACATCTGAAAGAATGTTTGTATATCAAGTTTAGATTATGTAAAGAGTTTCCAGATGACGCGATAAGTAGATATAAAGAGGTTTTCAAACCTCTAACAAATTTTTTTTGTTCAGAATCTGATTATTGTTAACAAACAAATGACGGGGTAACAAATATTCCCACAATTCTGATCCAAGATATTCAAGGAATGATGCCACTTTGATGACAAGCTATTCACATTATGAAAAATACAAAATGTGCTTTTACACTTTACTCCAATATCTGGATATGGAGCCTCTATATGGAAAAGTGGAAAGAAAGGAAAAAAGTATTTGAAATATAGAATAATCATGGGACTGATGGTATGTTCTACCTGTCGATGCTGCTGCAACCAAAACCAGAGATGGGGAAAGTCTCTCTAATGCCTCGTCATTTCCCGGAAAATATTGGACACGCTAGGTGATAATCTCGGCAAGAACTTAAACATCTGGAAAGCAAAAACAAAATCTTCCGTTAGAGAAATAGTAATATGGGTTGCATTGCTTCCAATACCATCGATAAAGTCGGGATTTGAAGTTTATGGGTTCTGGACTTGCCATCGAACTCATAGCTCGTCTTAGTAACTGGGTTCGTATTTAAACGTTATACATATTTAATGACTTTTCTAAAATAAAAATACAGGGTCCAAGCAAAAGCTATTGGGTTCGTTTGAACCCGTAGTGTATACGCTAGCTCCGTCCCTGTTTACAGCATATAAAGCTTGGACGCTCTCTAGTAAATTAAAGAGAAAATATGCATTGGCGAGTAACATTGACTTTACTCAACTAAATAGGCTTATTTTAACCAATAAGACAATCCATGAAGGTCAGGGAGGACTTTACAGGTATATACTTTGTTCACTTTCCAGATTAAAATAAAAAAAGAGTCCAAGTTATTGAAAAAGTAAGCACATACCCAAAGCTTCACACAGGCATCAATTATAACTGGAACCAGGCAGACAAATAAGGTTATCATTGCTGGATCAACTTCAATGCCATAATGCTCCACAAGGACCTCGAGCAAAGTCTGCCAACCAGATTCAGAATGATACCTGAAACACATTCACCACATTATCCAACATGACGGAGCTCTGGAAAGTTGGCTTCTATTTACTTTTAACAAGTGGGAAATGTTGACAATTTCCAAAGAAAAAATAGAAGCCCAAACAATAGAAATGCATAGGAATAAAAGGGAGTGAAACTAGATTGGTACCACTAAACTTTTAAGGGATAAGAGTAATAATTTTACATCTAGTCCTTGCATATCGCTTTAGTTGGAAGTACAACAGAAACTTTAATTTCCATCCTTGAGGAAATCCCAAAAAAGGTGTTAGGTTGCTTAAACCCTTTGCTTCTGAGAATTGGAAAGTAATGAACTGAAGTTGCCCTTTTTTTTTAAAATGAGATGAAGTTGCTGCTATTTTATAAATTAGCTAACATGGATAGGTGCTATATTTACGGATAAGTTCCTTTAGAACATTCAGTATGGTCATAAGCATGAAATAGAATCAAACTTTACCCCAAAAAGATATCAGTAACCAGAATAATCAGAAACGCCTTGCCGGTATCCGAGACATTGTTTAATATCTTGTAACCAGTAAATTTGAGTAGCTTCACCTGCAGATATTGACAAAAAAGTTTTAAACTTAGAAACACTACAAAAATTGAGGAAGTACACTTTAGAAACCCTATTTGTGAAAGAAAAATAACGACTGAGGCCCCATTTGTTTTTTTTATTAATTAAGATGTTTAAATCTGAATACATGTCTATTGTCTTTAAATGAAGAATTAAGACTTTGTTTTCTCGGCATTTCAAATTGTATAATTTATCTTTATTTAAAAACTAATAAATATGAACTCAAATAAAATGAAATTACATATTATATCCACATAATATAAGAGAAAATCTAAATTACCCCATGTTGTAAAAACTATTTGTTTGATGAAGTACACTCTAAAAGCTAGCGGTGTGGCAGTTGTTGGTGCTGGTGGCTGGTAGTGATAGTTGTGAGGTAGTGGCTGGTGGTAGTTGTTGGTGGAGTTGATGCCAGTGGTGGTTGTGCAGTGTTGCTAGTGGTGGTTGCTGGTGGTGGAGGTGGTTGCTGGTAGTTGTATGATGAAGGCTGGTGGTGAAGGTGGTTGGTGGTGGTGGTTGGCAATGGTGGTTGTGCAGTGGAAGTTGAAGGAGGAGGTGGTATGACTGGGAGTAGAGGTGGTTGGTGGTGGTGGATGAGTGATAAAGGCCGGTGACATCTCTTATGTGGTGGTAGTGGATAGAGTAGTAGTAAAAAGTTACAGGTTACAAAATGCAATGGACAATCGAGATTAAAGAGCGATATGAGGGGAAAATGGCGTATAAAAGATTTCCTTTATTTATCTTAATAACACCAAGTCCAAGCAAGTTGATCATTTCATGTTAACGGCTTTCGCCCAATAACATAGACGATACAAGTATATTGGCAAAGAGGTAAATTTTGTTGAAAGACAGATAT